ACTGTAGTTAATCCCAGGCATAGGTTTTGGTTAGTTGGTTGTGTTTTTGTTTCTGTACCACATGGTAATTAGTGTTAACCCTGTGACTTAAACTTCTGATGCTTTATCTGTGCTGTATACAACACAGATAAAGTGGAGTCTGGCTTTCTAGTTTCCTAGCCTTGTCAGCCCATAGTATGTTTATAGAAAAGTTACCTAAGAAAAGCAATAGTATTAGTACTAGTTGCTGTTTTATAGTAGAAATTAAAAGAAGAAAGATAACAAACACTTCACATGCACCTTTCTTGGAAACCCTATCATTTTTGTGTTGTCTCTCTCTCTCTGTAGACCAGGGTGGCCTCAGACTTGAGGGTCTGCCTGCCTCTGCCTTCCCAGTCAGCCCCTTGAGTTCTATTTTTTTTTCCCTCAGTCTGTTTTGGTGAATCATTTTCTTAATTAAATATAAGTGTAGTAGAACTCTTCTTGCATTGCATCTTCTCAATTGACAGCACCCCGGGTATACTCTTGTATTTCATTTCATTCATATCTGAATAAGTAGTTTTTCCCTTGAACTGAGCAGTAACTGCAGCTCCTTATAGTGCTCTGTCTTTTTACTCTGCACACAGTATTCATTGATTAACATAAGATATGCCCTTTTTGTTTTCCCTTTTTACTGTTCCAGGTACCAACATTGTCAAATCAGGAGGTTGGGAGTAACCTAGCTTATCTCTATTTTCCTTAGCTTGCCCTTGATCAGATCACTTGGCCTTCCACCTTTAGTTTTTTTTATTATTATTATTACATTTGTTGGGGAGAGGGGCATGTTACTGAGCCTGTGTTAAGAGAACAGCTTGCAGAAATTAGTTCTTTCGTTCCACTTTGTGAGGTCCCAGAGATGGAACTTTTTCTTTTTCTTTCTCTTTTTGGTTTTTTGAGACAGGGTTTTTCTGTGTGGCTTTGGAGGCTGTCCTGAAACTCACTCTGTAGACCAGGCTGACCTCGAACTCACAGAGACTGCCTCTGCCTCCCGAGTACGGGGATTAAAGGCGTGCGCCACCAATGCCCCGCTCACTTTGTGCTTTGTGTATCTGAATTTCATCCATTTTTCTGTCTCCATTGCCACTGCCCAATGGATTCATTTCAGTACCTCCATCCTCTTTACTCCATGCCCCCGGTCTTAATTATCAGGCGACTTTTTCACTTTGCTTAAAAGTGAAATTGTTACAGTTATCCACAGTCTACTTAGACTTGCACCACTTTGTAAGACTCCAATACCTTTGGGGGAATAATAAAATATATGTACACCTGCTACCTGGAATGTGATTCTGAAAACCTACAGCTTCTGCATTAAAGGAATTGTCTATCATATCAAGCTCAGCCAGGCTTGTTGGCACATTCCTTTAAACAACACTGAGCGGCAAAGGCAGACAGATTTCTGAGTTGAAAGTCAGCCTGAGGGGAGGGGAAGAAAAAAAAAGAAAGTCAGCCTGGTCTAAAGACCAAGTTCAGACCAGCCAGGACTACACAGTGAGATAGTATCTGAAAAATAAAGTTCATTCTCTAAGGCAAGTCTATCTTTGATGTTCCTTTCCAGAGAGCTAACAGGCAAAGCCTTCCTCATCAAGCCCATAATTAGCTATGTCCATCAAAGGGCTGACTTCTACATTCTTGATGTCTTGACTACAGCCTTCCCTGCCCCCATCCCCTAGCTTACTGAACTCTGAGTAGACCTGGTGAAAAAGCCTCTGACTTCCTGCTTTGCTCAAAGGGCAAGCCATCAAGACTCTTTAACCAAGTACAGCAATTTGCTACCAGGGGCACTCACTACAAAGCTGGACTGAAGGACCCAAAAATCTAGTCACTCAGGTGGGATCCTGTCTTCTACAAGATCTGTGGGCATGTTTTTATCATAAAGCATGGTTAATAAGTGCATTACTCTCTGAAACTGTTGAAAGAAATGAGCACAGCTGTAACTCCAGGCATCCAGGAGTAACCAGCAAATAAACTTCTCAACATCAAGTGAGAGCAGAGCCTGAGAGTTGCTGGGCGGGTGGGCGGAACCCTCAGTTTGAGTGACTAGCCAATGCCCCCCCCCGGGTGTGACGTAACCTAGTGTTGTTGCCTGCTGCCACACGTGGTCACCTGAGACTGCCTACACCTCAGACCTGCTTTCCGCACTTTCAAGGCACCCGCTATTTGCCTTCCTGCTGCTCGCTATGTCCACGTCCACGAGTTGCCCTATTCCGGGGTGCCAAGACCGGATTTCAGATGGCTACAGCACCACACCGGGGGGCACACTATATGCAACTACCCCGGGAGGTCAGCAGGCAGGGCAAGGGGTTGTGCTCTGTGGGACAGTATGGGGGTGGGGTAGGGTGAGTTGGACCTTGGAATTGCTTCTGCGGGCTTCTCTCTAGATTATAGCGTTGAGAGAGACTGTTTGAAGCTGTTTTACAAAAAAGACTCAAAGCAATCCAACATTGCTTTACAACTGGCTTCCTGGTAGTTCTGGGCAGTAACTCACTATGCTCCGTGCTAATGCTGCAACCCTTTAAACAGTTCATGTTGTGGTGGCCCTCAACCATAAGATTGCTTCCATTGCTACTTCATAACTGCAATTTTGCTACTGTTATGACTCATAAACACCTGTGTTTTCTGATGGTCTTGGGTGACCACTGTGAGAGTCGAGACCCACGGGTTGAGAACCGTTGCAATAGCCAAGTGGCACAACAGGAAGCAAGTGTTATGTAGTGGTGCAGCCACTGGGCTGGCAAGTGTACAGGGAACGCAAGACTAGGGCAGGGCTCTTTGGGGACACTGCTGGCCATGTGACCATAGGTGAAGCTAGCCCTAAAGGACTTAGAGGGGAGTACATGTTTTCCAAAGAATGCACCTCTCCCTTGCAAGAGGTGTGAGAGCCCAGGGAGCCGCACTGCTGAGAGGCTGGACAGTGAGGCCTCACCGTACCAAAGCAATAGCTGTGAACTGTAGACTAACAACAGTCCGAAGTGCTCTAAAGTGTGGTGTTCCTCCTCAAGACTACAACCACTATCCTAGCCCAAAGCACCTATTTAGACTAGCTACAATATTCAAATTGCCTTGTTGTTTAGGCTGGCTGGGCATGTCTTTTGTGGTATGACTTGCTGAATCCTAGCTGGGCAGTAATGTGTTCAAGTTCCTGGTTCTCAACTTGAGTCCTTACTCCTTCAAAGGCACCAAGATCATCTACGATCGAAAGTTCCTGCTGGAGTGCAAGAACTCACCCATTGCCCGGACACCTCCCTGCTGCCTCCCTCAGATTCCCGGGGTCACAACTCCCCCAACAGTCCCACCCTCCAAACTGGAGTTGCTGAAGGAACAGAAGCAGACAGAGGAAGAGATAACCGGTAAGAAAGTAGAACTAGCAGTTAAATGCCTTTGTGAAGTAGAGTTGGGGTTTGATTCCAAGAGGGGTTCCTGCAGTAACTGCTCTTTTGACTTCTCTCCCCAGATGACGAACAATTTGAAATGGACATGTAATCCAATGGGATGACCTGTGTGGAGTCACAGAAGGATCCCTTATGCCACTGCTGGCCTCATCTAACCTGAAGAGTGACTTCTTGGTTCTGGGCTTCCTTTAGTTCTGAGGCAGCTGGACCAGGGATAGCAGTGGGCACTTACTTGCCAAGCCCTTAGCTTTCTCTGGTCTATATATATTCCTCCCAAAACCCTGGCCCTCCCCTCAGGGCTGGCACTGGGAAACAGAGTATGTCACCTTCTGTCTGGCTGCTTAGTAAACATTCAACAAAAATGCCTTGGCTCCAGTGTTCTCCTCAGTGCTCACCTCTCAGCCACACAGCTAAGGAACCCAGCAGCCCTGATTAAGAGGCACCAAGTCTGTTCCCACTTCCTGCAGCAATTAGGGCTTGAGGCAGGCTATGAGAAGGCTACTGGAGTTGCCAGGCCATAAAGAGCAATAGCCTGAGCCTTGCCAACGGCTGGCTGTTCTGTCTTTCCAGTAAGCAAGGTCCCCAACCATCTGTAAAGTGGACTCCTGGAAGACACCCCCAGTGTCTCCCCTACCTATTCTGCTTCCTGCCTCCTAATACCAATCCCCCTTCAATCCTGGAAACTTTGTGTCTCTTACCAGCATAACCACCAGTACATTTTCTGGTTTCAGCTATTTCTTTTTTTAAAAAGTGTTAAAAAAAAGATTGGTGGGGGGCTGGAGAGATGGCTCAGCAGTTAAAAGAGCCATGGTTGCTCTTCTAAAGGTCTTGAATTCAAGTCCCAGCAACTAAAAATGTCTCACAACCTTCTATAATGAGATTTGATATCCTCTTCTGGGTATAGGCAAATATGCAGATAGAACACTCACATAAGTAAATCTTTTTGAAAAAGACTAGCCTGGCGGTGATGGTTTATACCTTTTACCCCAACACTTAGGAAGCAGAGGCAGGCAGAACTCAGTTCAAGGCCAGCCTGGTTTGCAGAGCAAGTTCAGGGCAGTCAGAGCTACACAAAGAAACCCTGTCTAAAGAAAGAAAAAAAAAGCAAAGACAAACCCAAAATGGGGTAACCTCAAATATCAGTAATCTAATCTTTGTTAAAACAACATTTCAACATTAAGGTGGCCTCAAACTCACTAAGTAATACAGGATAACTTGAACTCCTCTTCCTGCCTCATGTCTCAAATGTTAGGATCATAGGTGCATGCTACTTACACCCAACAGAAATGTTGAAATCCAATCTTTTTCTCCTTCATTTTAAACAGCAGAAACCCCAATCACTGACTCTAGTAACAATACACCAAAGACACAGCAAATAGTCTCTTCTGATGTTTCAATCTATTCTCAGGCTGAAATGAAATTAGCCAACAACAACATGCCTACCACTTCACAAAGAATGCGCTTTTCAGTCTAACTCTGAGAAAAGCAGGTAGCAATATGGTTATGCCCATCAAAGCCCTTGATGAATGGAGCAAGTCATGGTATTCATGGAGCAGGAAAGCTGACATCACAAAGAACCAGCATCCGAATGGCTCATCTTTCCTACCCACTTGCCACCATTGGGATGTTTATTGAAATGTACATATTATGAGTAACAAGTGATCTTGCAGTGGCCCAGATAGAATCTTTGGTCAGGCCCAACAGGGCCAATAGTCTCCCCTGGTGGTAATGGGAGCCAAGTGAAAAGAGCCTTCCACACCAAGGCATAGATAGATCATTTGAGTGAGTCCGGGGAGCCCCCAGGGTTATGAAGGCTGTGGAAGCCCAGTACTGTCTGGTTCTCGGGTGTCACTGTCGACTTCTCTTCTTTGGCCTCCTCTGAAGACAGACTCCTCTTTTCTGCAATTAATCTTTTAACTCCCACCATCCACTGACTGACCTCAGTCACATGGTCAACCATGAGTGAGCGGTGAATGTCATCTGCTGCATCCCACTGGTGGTGTAAAAGTTCTGAGGAGAAACAGGGCTTGAGCAAGCAAATGGCAATGTAAGTCATGTCTGCCATTCCTCCCTTCCCAGTCAGTAAGACCTCTTCACGTGTCAGTGCAACCATCGGTGGCAGGATAAAGGACCCCGCCCATACCTTGCACTAGTAGCGCCATCCTCTTCTTCACAGGCATTGACAGCTTCCCTCCAGTCCACTGTTCCTGAAGCAGTGCCAAGCGTCGGCTGATGTCATCATACACCTGTTTCTGAGACAGGAACCCGTCCAGCTCAGTGCTGCCTGTGTGCTTGCGTTCTCATGAGTTTGACGCTTGGTCATTAGAGTTCATATTCCTTTACCCAATGTTAGAGGGTCGTTCCCCCTGCCACACACTCACTATGGATATGATAAAACCTATGAACCTCCAGAGTCAAAAGATACACATGAGAAGAGCCATAAATTTCTCAGCCCACCAGAGACTTTTTAAAAAAGATTTTTACTTACTATTTATACGGTATTCTGGCTACATGTATGCCTGCATGCCAGCAGAGGACACCAGATCTCACTATAGGTGGTTGTGAGCCACCATGTGGTTGCTAAGAATTGAAGTCAAAGATCTCTGGAAGAGCAGCCAATGAGCTATCTCTGAGCTATCATCTCTCCAGCCTCCAGAGACTCATCTTAATGTTAACTGTTCAAATAAGGAGAACCTGGCTAAAGGTGGGACTACCATGCTGCATCACCCCTTCTTCAATCCTTTGTATACAGAGAGCTGAAGAAACCTTCATACAAAGTCTTCTCTCTCTCTCTCTCTCTCTCTGTCTCTCTCTCTCTCTCTCTCTCTCCCTCCCCCTTTTCTTCCATCTCCCTCTCTCTCTCTCCCAGACTGAGTACATGCTGAATGACCTCAATTTACAAAAATAAGCTTGTAATTCACTAATAGGAATTCAATACAATTCATTCCCACAAATCCTCTACTACTGGCTGGTCCCTCAAATCAATGTCCATTTTCCTGGAACGACTGGGAGATTCCTTAAGGGCCTAGCCAGGTGGTGGTGGCGCAGACCTTTATTCCCAGCACTTGGGAGGCAGAGGCAGGCGGATCTCTGTGAGTTAAGACCAGCCTGGTCTACAAGAGCTAGTTCCAGGACAGCCTCCAAAGCAATACAGAGAAACCGTGTCTCAAAGAAACACAAAAAAGAATCGTCCTACCTTTGTGTGGCCACGGCAGTCCTCCAGTGCCTGTTCCAGAGGTCTCAATACATCTTCAATCAGAGCTTCAGATTCAGTGACTGGGGAGCTTGGGGGCTCCACACTAGCAGCAGGACATGTCCCCATAGGTGGAGGCCTGGAGGCCTTACTTGAAGGAGGTGGATGACCCACTGAAGGTGGTCCAGAAGTTTCTGAAGTTGGGACTGAAATGTTCAAACTAGATCAAGCAACAAGGCTTAGTACCCTCTGTTGATCATTTTATTCCCATCTCCCATTTCTCTTTGTTGACAATATTTCCATCAGCTACAAAATCTGGTCACAGCTCCTCAACTCTAGCTCAACTTTTACTTCCTACTGCCCTGTTTTATTGGTTAAACCAAAGCATGTAGGGAACCAAACTCAGTTTCTTTAGAAGAGCAGCAAGTACTCTTAACTACTGAGACATTTCTCCAGTCCCCCAATATAGTTTAACACTTTTCATGGGCAGATTTTAAGAAGTACAGAAAACTGCATTTCATATCTCTAAATTTCACATTCTGTAGATACTTCCTTTTCCTATTTTTGGCCATGCCTCTTACTTCACTGATAAAGCCACCAAATGGGATTTTTTTTTTTTTTTTTTTTTTTGCTGTTGTTGTTTGAGGCAGTGTTTCACTCTAGCCCAGACTGGCTTCAAACTTCTGGCACTCCTCCTGCCTCAGCTTCCTGAATACTGAGACCACAGCCATACACTACCTACCATGCCCAGCTCTCTCTTAGTCGACCCGCCACCCATTGTGGCCACATTCCTTCCTCAGAAGGTGCTTGCTCCTATCAAAAGGGCATCTCTCAGGCTGGAAAAATGGCTCAACAGTTAAAAAGACACCTCTCCACTCATACTTTGCAGTCCACACCTATGTCTTTCGGCCTCCCTCCTATGATTATTTCTTTTCTCCCTTATGATCAGTTCTTGGCCTTTGCTCTTTCATACCGTGAATGTACAAATGGGCTGTATTATTTACTATCAAAGCCCATTCACTTCACTGTTTTAGACAAGGTATGAAAATCCACACCCTCTCCATAAGGGATTGATGTTCAAGTCCATTACATCAAATCAAATACAGCATCCCACCTCCAAACCTATCTTCCAACATTCCACTAAAAAAAGTTTTTTGGAGCACTCCGATTTCTGAACCAGGCAAAGTTGTTCTCATCTCAGAGAATTTGCACTTACCTGTTTCTTGTGCTTAAAATGCTTTTTCGTTTTTTAGTGCCTCTCAGTCACATTTCCATGTTGACTTAAATATTTACTTAACTAGCACCCCCAGACACCTTGGAAACCATTGATTTCCCCGTTTTCTCTCCAGAGTCCCTACCAAGAAGGCCTTTTAGCTTGTTCACTGCGTTTTGGTTTGCACTCAAACCGTTCCTGGGTCTTGACAAGTGCTCAGTAAATACCAATTAAACAAATGAATAAATAACAAAGTTTGAGATGCTTATAACACAAAGGCCACAGTATTCTGGGAAGAGGTCTAGGCAGGAAAGAGTCTGAATGAGCACAGTCCTTTTGCCCAACAGCATTTACTGACCAGGAATGCAGGAAGAACGGGCTCAAAAAGCGCCTGCGTTGAGGCCCCCTCCTAATCGAGTCCAATGGGACAGGTATCCCAGACTATCTCTCCGTAGAGAGTTCCGCCCACGGCTCTCACGCACCTCTAGGGGATCCATCCTGTGGGGCCGCGACCCTTTTAGTAAGGGGTGTGCGTTTGGGTCCACCAGTCTGAGTCTGCAGCCCGTACGAGAACTGCGGAGGGTCGTTCCAGCCGCGTTCCTTGTTGCCTGCGAAGGCAAGGAAGTGTGTGAAACCACACCGGGAACCCAACCGAGGTTACTCTGGGGTCTGGAGTGGAGGGGTGTCAAGAGTTCGCTCCAAGTACCCCCAACCGCCCACCAGCAGAGCTCACCCGGCTTTACATAGAGCTCCGCCATCTCCACTTCCGCACCGCCAGCGGGGCAGCGCGTCATTTCCGGGGCGGTAGCTCGCTCGGTCACTGAGTCCTGCTGCCCAGACAGCCAGGCACCAATTCCTTAGGGACAAATGGCTAATGATCTGTCACGTGGCACCAAACAGGTTTTTCTAATGTCTCCTAGCTTGCTCTCAGGAACAAATTCAAACACCAAAAGTACCTGCTGACCCTAACCACGTCAACCTCTGGAAGCTTGCATATCAGTGTACTGCCCTGTACAATTTTTACATTTTCTCTAGGCTTACTAACGAGATCTTCAGCACTCAAATATGTAAACTCTTCAGAAGTCTTCTGAAATACCTTTATAAGTCTCATCTGAGCTCCCACAACCCTCTGGTAGTTCCTGGTATTTTCTGATTTGGTCGTTTCTCCTCTGAAAGTCTCAGAAGGAATCCTGACAAATAAGCCTACTTTAATATCTGATACCAGAAACCTGTAAAAAGTGCTGAATGAATGCAGTCAGATTTCCATTATGAACCATGTCTTCACTGTGACTAAATACAGTCACCAACACCAAGCATACACACCCACCTCACACAGGCTGATGGCCCCCAACCGTTTCCCGTGTCTAATATACTCACAACTAGTGAGGTCACTGAGGGATTTTTATTTGCACTGGTTCTGCTATAAAGTTGCTGAGGTAGAGCCAATTGTCCAGGGTTGGACAGGTCAAGGAGCAAAAGAACCCAAGGAAAAGGGCACTAGGAGCCTAAGTTATAGTGCAGGGCCTCTCAGCCATCCATATAAACAACAAACTTGATAATAAATACAGGGTAGGCAAGGATCAGGGATAGGCAGGAAGGTGAGAGGCTACAGAGCCCTGGGGACTGTAAGAGTATACAGCCTCCTTCCCCAGCCTCTAAGATCAATCTAGGACATGTGGAGAAGAGAAGGTTTTAGCCTGAAGGCATCAAGAAATGAGAAGACACCCCTCTTTCGAGGAGCTGCTCCAGCACCCCCAACTCCTCCTTTGAGTAGGGGGGGAGGCAGAGGGCCACCAGGGGAGTCCATGGAGCTGGTCCGCTTGAGCCGAAGGCGGGCACGGGCCTGGGCACCCCAGGTCTTACCCCGAGCTGCTGAGGCCACCAGACACTTCTGGTACTGGACCTAGGAAGAAGTTGAGTGTGAACATCCAGCTCTCTGCCCTTAGGTCCCTGAAAGCTTCTGTGAGGCAGGTAACTGGCCAAGAATTTCGTCTGATAATCATGTCTTCCCATAGCATTCCCAGATAGCTCAGCAACAAAAACATAAAACTTGACATTTACTGAGCACTTAAGGAAAGCTAAACACTGTGTTAAGTGCTTTGTATGATAATTTAATTTAACCTAGTTATTTATGAGTCGTTACTATACTCATCTTGCAAATGACAATATCTAGGTTCGGAGAGAAATGATTTGTCTAGGACAGTGGTTCTTAACCAGTAGGGGAATCATATATCCTGCATAACAGATTTTCTTTATTTACATTTTAAGTAATTGTGCTTACATTACCATTTGTAACAGTAGCAAAATTACAGTTATGAAGTAGCAATGAAATCACTTTATGGAGCGGTCACCACAACAAGAGGAATTGTAATAAAGGATCATTGCATTAAGAAGATTGAGAACCACTGGTCTAAGGTCTCACAAATAGAAAATGTTAGACCTGGCATTCTGATGTAAGTCTGTCCAGCTGTAAAGCTTGAACTTTTGTTTTTTGGTTTTTCGAGACAGTTTCTCTGTGCAGCCTTGGCTATCTTGGAACTCATTCTGTAGACCATCTTGGTAGACCTCTGCTTCCAGAGGGCTGGGATTAAAGGCGTGTGTCATCACTACCTGGCCAAAGTTTGCACTCTTAACTACACCTACCAGAAGAGACTCTCCTCCATCCCTCATTGTTCTGTAACAATATCTGGAAAAACAGATTCTCTAGTGAAGAGAAAGTCTATAAAGCCAACCCATTCCCAAAATAGCTGTCCTAATCAAACTCTCATTTAGATTACTCAGAGCAGATACTACTTAGCTTTCTACCTCCTATAGTTTACTTGCACTGTAGCTTAAGTAGGCAAAATCTACAGATCTCACTTCAACGTCCTGCTTAAAGTCCTTCAAAGGTCCTCAGTGTCCAAGGCTAATCTCGAAGTTCTCACGACCTGTTTCTGTCATTCTCTGTTCTCATCTATCATTACACCCTCTTGCAGGCCACGCACACCATGTTTTCAGGTACTCTAACCACTAACATCCTTCTTATATCCACTCCTGAGGTTCTCTGGCATATCTGCTGTCTCTTCACCTGGCATACTCCATTGGGTGCCTTTTCTTTTCCCCTACAGGTGGCTGTCCTGCCACTTGAGGAAGCATCTCCATCATCATGTATGTAACTTGTTTCTGATGTATTTCTGTTCTATTCTGTGATGGCAAAGGCTGTGAGTACTTTCTGTATCAACGAATTCTCAGAATTATAGTAACTGACCCCTATACTCATTTGTTTAATGAATAAGTGAACTGAATTAATGTAGCTTAAGCATCCTACATTGAAATGCCCACACACCCAGAAGCATGTTGAATCAGACAAATGGTACCCACTCTATACAGCACTTTACCTACATGCTGAAAGGTGTTATATGAGTGTGCCCATGAGTGTTTATGTGTGTGTACCTTATATTAGCATTCCCCATACTTTAAGAAATCAGAAATAAGCCAGGTGGTGGTGGTGCACGCCTTTAATCCCAGCACTCAGGAGACAGAGGCAGGCAGATCTCTGTGAGTTTGAGGACAACCTGGTCTACTGAGCAAGTTCCAGGACTGCCTCCAGAACAACACAGAGAAACCCTGTCTTGAGAAAAAAGAAAAAAGAAAAAAAAAAGAGAGAGAGAAAACAAAAAAGAAAAAAGAGAAATCAGGAACAGCTGTTATTATGTGAAATGCACTAGACTTGTGAGTATTAGTAACCAACACAGAACTTAGCAAACACAGCGTTAAGAGCCAGGTGTACTAGCAAACTCATCTGACCCTGGGATTATCGGGTTGTGATTTAAGAGGAGCTACCCATGTTGAGCCCACCCCACAGTACAGAGCAAGAAAAACACCCCCCATTCCCACTGCACTCCTAACTCACCATGCAGGCAGCTTGCACAGCTTCAGAGAGTCCCCCAGCATGAGGCTGGCACCAGAAGGCCGCACACTGGAAGCTCTGACAGCCAAGGTCAGCGATGAGGCCAAAGGTGTGCGGGTCCCGGCCAACACCAATAAAGGTTACAAGGCGCACAGGGCACTGCCACAGCGGCTCTTCCTCTGCACCAGCCTCTGCCTGCCCACACAAAGCCTGATCACTACAGAGTTAAGCAACAGCTAGACCCAATACTTTCAGACCCCAGTAAAGAGACACCCCCACCTCAACATGCCTGTCCACCCTCCAAAGTCCCAATTTCATCCTCTTGTGGTACCTGAATGGGATGTGCAGTCATCAGAGAGTCAGACACACTGAGCACAGCAGGGACCCAGGTTTTCTGATCCCCCCGGGCAGTGAGGGTACCAATGGCCTCATTCAGCACATCCATACCTGAGGAGACATGCCTACTGTGCTGTCTGGCTTGGATAGAAAGGGTCTGCTGGGAGTTAGTTTCTAGAACTCTTCCATTAACTTGGGATTCAGAAAGATGGGAAAAGAATAGTTGGGACTGAGCTTGGAATTCTAAGTTGAAAGACTGCATATATCCTAAACTATATAAGACCATGCAATCACACCTCACCCATCAGCCCCCTCAGTCCTCACCCATGGCTTTGTTAACGGGAAGGACCCCCATGTACAGTGCCTCATACTTCTGAGCAGCCTGGCTCACTGCATCCAGCAACTCCACTGAAACACACAAATCAAGTAACAATCTAACACAGAAACTCAATCAGCCCTCTCCCCACCCTTCCTGTGACTACACCACTATGTAATCAGCTCTGGCTGGCCTGGAACTTGCCATGAAAAACAGCCTTAAACTTTGTGACGGTATTCCTGCCTCTGCCTTCCCAGTGCTGAGATTACAGGCTTACCTCACCACACCTAGCTTCTCCACCCTAGTGGATGTGCCAGGACTCAAGCTAGAGCTGTTATTAGCAAAGGAAACCCTGTAGATGCACCTTCAATTTACTGCTTTAGATCCTTGGATCTGGACTCTCCAGGAACCCCACACCCTTACCATATCCATCTTTCACTGAAGCAGCCTGAGGTTGCAATGCAGCAAGCCCTTCCCATACCTTGCCTTGGAAAGTCTTCAGGGGAAATAGGATCTGAGGAACAGCAAGCAGCTTCTCCACTGACTCCTATCCTCTCAGACAAGATCTAAAATACAGTTTAGTCAGCATGAGGCACACAAAGGAGGAAAAGGAGGAGAAGTCAGGGTAAGGGGCCAACCCCACTCTGTCCAACTCCACACTCCCCGCCCTCACCTGTACGCAGAGCCCCTGCAGAGCACTTGCAATGGCCTTTGCAGGTACGTCACAGCGAAACACATGGCACTTGAGCATACAGCTGTCTTTGTCACCCGCAACAAAGGCAAAGTCCCTGGCAGGGGCAGGGATAGACTGGTTAGGGGCAGGGGCTTCTAAGTATATGGCACAGTTGGAATTGGGAAGTCAGGGATAGGGCTCAGAGTACCTAGTTGTCACATACCTGTCGCTGTTCCAGAAGCATGTGGGAGCACAGGATTAAAATCAGCCCAGCCTCTCAGACTCTCCCCTATCTGTCCCTGCTGAGCTGGTCCCTGCTGAGCTGGTCCCCCCCACCCCAACCAGGACTGAACCAGGCAGGGAAGGCCATGCTGGGTCCACATCAGAGGATCTGTGTCCAAGGGTTCAGCATCAGTGGGAATCACAGCCTGCAAGGGGGAAGGGTAATGCAACTCTTGCTTGGGGAAACGCAGAAGTCCTCACCGGCCCTTGGAGCTGCCCACACCCCAGACACGGATGTGAACCAGAGGCTGACAATGGATCAGACCGTGGTCCAGGGGATTCACCAGGCTCATAGCATCCTTCTTAAGGATCATCAATATGTTCTGGCCCTGCCAAGGACAGAGATCAGACAGGTAAAGGTGGCTCACAGGGCAAACAAGCAATTCAGGAAAAACCCACATCTGCTGAGCCGGAGGCTGAACCCCCAGGGAAATGAGACAGCTCACCTCACCCCAGGCACCATTGTGGGGCTGGCTCCGGTTACGAGTCTGGGCCAGCTGCTGGATACAATTATTGACAACAATACTGCTCCTCCCGGGTGCCAGGTCCTCCTCGGGCACTTCAACCCAGCCCAGAGAGCGGACTGCAAAGCACTGAGCAGCCAGAGAAAAAGAAGTGAGTAGGTGTGAACAGAGTGGCGGATGACACAGGACCCATACATATAAACTCTGGAGTGCTGTTCTTACACTAACCCACCCCACTCATCTTTCCCTGGAGATCTCCCAACATCTTAAACTACCTTAGCTCCTGGCTCCAGGCTCCGGACATAGGAATCTTCACCATACCATGTTAGAGAGTTACTAGAATAGAGTATAGCCAGCAAAAGGGTTAACATTCCTACATTAAGGGCAATGATGAAACCTAGCCTACTTGATCAAGCACAGAATTTTGGACAAGACCCAAAATATAAGACCACAAATGCAAACCCAGAACAAAAGACCCAGAATATAGTAAATTAACAAATTATAGCCAGGCATTGGTGGCACACACCTTAGCACTTGGGAGGCAGAGGCAAGCTGAGCTCTGTGAGTTTGAGGCCAGCCTGGTCTACAGAGCCAGTTCCAGGACAGCCTCCAAAACAATACAGAGAAACCCTGTCTCGATAAACCCAAATAAATAAATAAATAAATAAAATTAACAAATTGTAGTTTAAAATTTGAAGAAATCCAGGATACAAGACACATAGACTAAAACACATAAATATGGATATAAATTAAGATATGTGGACAAAAGCCTCAAACTAGAACAAGAGACTCTGGAACCCCATCCCCACCACCCCACCTCTGGCCAAAAAAAAAAAAAAAAGCCAATGGATGGGTCTACTGGAATATGATGGGTCAGGACATTGGACACAGAACATAGACCTAATGATAAGAACTTGTAACAAACAAAATTCAAAATACTCAAAAGGCAAGAGCATGAGACAAAGCTAAGCACAAGCTGAGCCCAAAATGGACAGAGTCCAGAACTACAGCTTAAAAGCAAAACTGTGGAGGCAGGCACGGTATCATCTGTATGAGTTCCAGGGGCAGCATACACAGTGAGACCTGAGACCCTGTCTAAAAAAAAAATCAATTTGTGGGTCTAGCTTCATTTTTGAGTGGCACAGTAACCCCAAGGTTGTCATTTGGCCTGGGCCACCCCTGTTACCTCCGGTTCAATGAACTGTCCAGGCTGGAGAAGGATCTCCCCTTGGGGGGTCGCAGCTCCCAAATTCCCTCCTTCCCCTATGGAGTAGAGATCGGTCAGTGTAGCAGCAGGCGCTGGTCCCCGCGTGTGCTCAAGCCCCCTCCTCACATTCTACCTACCGTTCCAGGGTCCTCTGCACCTCCGAGTTCCCAGGATGGTCGCTGCCACTGGGTGCTACCGCTGGGTACATGCCAATAGTAAGTGCCTGCAGCATCGCGGATCTTTCTCCAGCCGGGGGGCAATCCTGTCTCCCCCTCCAGATTTTGGTCCCCCCACAAGTCATCTACAGGAACAAAGAATTAAATCAAGGTGGCACATTTATTACCCGTGAGTTCCCAACAACACCGTCACAACCCTCGCTGCATTCCACAGGAGACAGCCCTAAACCTAGATCTCAACTCCCCAGTCCTGAAGATCACGCAAGGATCAAGGTTCGCTCACCCCTGGCTCTCATTCCCGGGACACCACCCACCTCCACCCCGTGTCCGAGCTCCGGTAGCCTCCCATCACCCCTCCCGGGAGGACCCTTGGCGCACACCGTCACAGTTGACCAGAATGATGGCCAGCATGTAATCCTTGCCCAACATCGCCTCCGACGACCTGCGCCCTCGGCCCCAGGCGATCTCCGGAGCTGCAGGGCCTCGCACACGCCCAGCCTGGGCGCCGGAGAGCGCCGAGCCCGCGGGCGCCGCGCAAACACCGGGCGGGAGGGGCCGGCCGGGGGCGGGCCTGAGCAGCCCGCGCCGCGGCGTCCGGGTCCCCGAGTCCTCGCGGGCCTCGGCGCGTGTGTCCCACGAACCCCGCACCCGAGCCCGGGCGACTCTGAGCTCCTCGGGCGACCGAGGACGGGCGAGAAGGCGCGCGCTCCGGGCGCCAGGGCGCGGGTGACGTCACCGCGCGGGGCCTGAGCTCATCACGTCCCGGCCGCCGCGCGCGCGCGCGCGCGCGCACCCCGAGACCAGGCGGGAGGGGCCCGGGGGCGGCGTCCGCGAGCGCAGCCGCGAGTGACTCGGGGGACGCCCCGCCCCTTCCCGAAAGGCAAAGACGGCGGTAGCCTTTGACCTGGGGGGCGGGGCTGCGCGTGCGCCGCGGGCTCGGCGGGGGACGATGGCGGATGACAAGGTGAGTGGTAAGCGAGGTCCGCTCCGGTCGGCGTGGTTTCCAAATTCCTTAGCCTTCTCACACCGGAGCGGCGGCGACAGGGGCAGATTCTTGTTTTCCCCCGGGCTCCCATCACCCGTTCAGACGCCCGTGGCTCGCTCGCTCGCTCGCTGGATGCCGGCCTTGCGGGCCGCACCCGTGCGGACACTGACTCGCCACACACCCGTGTGGTCTCTCAGCCTGGAACGGCCTGGGCAAACGTCAGGTCAACCTCGTCCCGTGCCCCTAGGGAACTGCCTCGGCCCGTCATCCACAGTCGCTCTAGAAACCCGGCGTCACCCACAGACGCGCTAACAGCCTGCCGGTGTCTCTGTCGGGCCTGGGACACGGCGGTGAAGACAGACTAATGGCCGTTTCCAGCTGGCGTGCGCGTCACTTTACAGTGCTCCCTTCCTAAAGCTAGACAGAAAGCCCCGGCTTCTCCTGGGGAAGTCACTGCAAGTTCCTGGTGCACATTCTCTCTGTCGCCTCCCTGGGCCCCGTGTGAGTGCTTTGCTTTTCAATATCTGCCTGCCTTTATCCCTGCCATCTCAGGAAGGTTTTGTAGGAAGACATTTATTTGGTTGTCCACAGCTCACCTAGTTCCTAGCCTCTGATAAAAGCTGAGCAGGGCATGGGACTGGGTCAGGTCTGCTGGAGCCAGCCTCTCCCTTGTCCTAGGATTCTCTGCCCAAGCTTAAGGACCTCACATTCCTCAAGAACCAGCTGGAGCGCCTACAGCAGCGTGTGGAGGATGAAGTCAGCAATGGCGTAGGTCAGGTAAGGGCCCCAAGTGCTCTTGGGAATGTTGAATAGGAGGTAGAGTTCTATTTTAGCAAATGGACACTGAGAACCCAAGAAAAGTTTCCCTGAGAAAAAAGACACTTGAACTGGGCATTGTGGTGCACACAATTTCAGGGCCGAGAGAATTGTAGGCCAGCCAGTGCTACACTCTAGAGACCTTGTCTCAGAACCAACAGGGGAGGAGAAAACAGCATTGAGCTGAGACCTGAAGTAGGCGTTAAATAGGAGAAGTGGGTGAACATTCCAGGGGCTGCGCAGACAAAGCCTGGGTGGTAAGCTGCCGTGTGAACGCAGAGTCGGGGAAAGGCGGTTGGAGCCATCAGAGACCTGCTACGAGGTGACAGAGCCCTCTGGCCCTGGGATTCTGACATTCTTTTCCGAGCTCCAGCATTTTGAGATAACCTTTGGAGAAAAGAGCACAGCTGTCAGCAGTGAGGACAAGCGAGTGGTCAAGCACTCTAAGCCCGGCTTACAAAGGAGAGCACACTGACTTCCTTTTGTGTTTTCCCTGCAGGACAGCTCAGTCTTCTCTTCCCCGTTCATCAAGGGGTTCCTGGCAGGGTATGTGGTGGCCAAGCTGAGGGCATCGGCAGTGTTGGGCTTCGCGGTGGGCACTTGCACTGGCATCTATGCAGCTCAGGCATATGCTGTACCCAACGTGGAGAACACACTGAAGAACTACTTTAGGTCGCTGCGAAAGGGGCCTGACTAGACACTTCAGGGAGGGCAGGATGAGCGAGTCGCAGGCTCTCTGTCTGGCTTCCCCTGCTACAGTGCATTTGCTGTCTCCGCCCATACTGTCTCTTTCATCCTCGCTTTTCTTCCTGCAGAGAATGGACAGGGATTTGTCAGCCTGCACCCTGCATTCCTTCCCTCCCTAGGGACTAACCTAAAACTGGCTCACGGGCGCTCCTCAAGCCCCAACTGTGGGATGTGACTCTGAGTCTATGTATTCTCTGGTGATGTACCACAGTTCTGCACTCAGTTTCCTTCGGCTGTGTCCCAGTTCCTCTGTCCCTTGCTAACTACACAGGCCACCCAGGGTGCGGTGTGGGCCATGAGTGTAGAAGATGGGGGTGTGCCAGGCCGAGCCGGTCCTAGACAGGCTCGCTGGACGCTGATGCTGTTCCTGTCCACTGCCGTGTATGGTGCCCATGCACCGTTCTTAGCGCTGTGCCACGTGGACGGCCAGCTGCCCTTCCGGCCCTCCTCCGCTGTGTTACTCACTGAGCTGACCAAGCTGCTGTTGTGTGCCTTCTCCCTCCTGCTGGGCTGGCAGACATGGCCCCGGGGCACAGCACCCTGGCGCCAGGCAGCACCTTTTGCACTATCGGCCCTGCTCTACGGCGCCAACAACAACCTGGTGATCTACCTGCAGCGCCACATGGACCCCAGCACCTACCAGGTGCTCAGCAACGCCAAGATTGGTAGCACGGCACTGTTGTACTGCCTCTGCCTTGGGCGTCGCCTCTCTGCACGCCAGGGGCTGGCACTGCTGCTGCTGATGGCTGCAGGAGCCTGCTATGCGTCACGTGGCTCTCGGGAACCTGCGGTGGACCTTGCCAGGGCCCATGCCATGCCCTTGCACGTCACTCCACTGGGACTTGTGCTCCTCGCCGTGTACTGTCTCGTCTCTGGCTTGTCATCCGTGTACACAGAGCTGATCATGAAGCGACAGCGGCTGCCCTTGGCTCTCCAGAACCTCTTCCTCTACACTTTTGGGGTGATCCTGAACCTCGGGCTGTATGCTGGCAGTGGCCCAGGCCCGGGCTTCCTGGAGGGTTTCTCTGGATGGGCAGTGCTTGTGGTGCTGACGCAGGCGGTGAGCGGACTGCTCATGTCCGCTGTCATGAAGCATGGCAGCAGCATCACGCGCCTCTTCGTCGTGTCCTGCTCCTTGCTGGTCAATGCTGTGCTTTCAGCAGTGCTGCTGCAACTCCAGCTCACAGCCGTCTTCTTCCTGGCCACACTACTCATTGGCCTGGCTGTGTGCTTGTACTATGGTAGCCCCTAAGGCCCGGCCACCCCACACCCCACTCCAGCAGCCCTGTGACAAGTGCCTTGTAAGAAAAGCTAAGGGGGTCCCATCAGCCTCTGGAAGTTCAGGTGGGTGAGCGTTACCCCTAGGAGGCATAAAGAGTAGGCTTGGCTAAGGAAACGCCTGGCTGTATCCCTATATTCCTTCACACTGAAAACTGAGAGCCCCAAACCCAGGCTTAGGCAGCCTGTCCTTGAGGAACCCTGCCTTGTCCTGCATGAGCATGGCCACTTCAGGTGAGGTTTTGCTCTTGCCTGCAGTGGTCACTCCTAAAGGCCCCTTGCCCTGAAGCTTCATGTTGTTCCTCTCACCCAGCGGCTTTAGGTCAGAGGGGGCTGGGGCTTGACTCATCTCAGGGAACACTGACTGCCCCTGGACCCTGGCTTACGCCTACACTCCTGACCCCTGTGCTAACTCAAGGGCCCTGTTGTAGCCCAGTTTACCTCTAAGGCACTTAGGAGGTGCTGTTTTTCCCACACTTGTCCTCTCTTAGTGGTGTCCCAGCTCCCAGCAGCCTGGGAAGGCTCTGCAGAGGAACCAGGGACCAGGTACAGAAAACATTTATAGATAATCAGTGTCTAACTACTTAAGCAATAAGGTCTTAATAAAGTGTTCAGGGTGTAGGGTGCTTCCAACAACCATTCACAATTGTTCGTGTTTTGTGTGTTTCATGGCTCCCCTCAAATGATTTCCTTGAGTTTCCTAAGTAATTTTGGAGTAACATCCAGAGTAGGAGAGAAATCTCCCAGCTGTTGCCAGTGGCATTGTTTGTCCTGGGAGCTCTGTGGATCTGATACGATATTGACCAGTTATGGTGAGGCACATCTGTGATTCCAGCCCTCCAGAAAATAGAACAAGGAGAGCTCAGGTTCAAGATCAAGCTGAGCTACTTAATGAGACCCTGCCTCAGAAAAGGAAGCCTTGGGGGTATGGTGATACAAGTGTGAACCTCTCCTTGGGAGACAGAGGAGCAAGAATTCAAGAGGGCCTGGCTAACAATGGTTGAGACTGCATGCTGTTCCTGCAAAGGACCCAGATTCCCAGACAGCCACAGCCACCTATAATTCCATCTTCTGGCCTCCATGGCACTCAGGTACCCATCCACAACACATAAATTTACATATGTATATGATTTTGAAACAGGGTTTCTCTGAGTAGCAACTCTAGTTGTCCTGGAACTCCCTCTGTAAACCAGACTGGCCTCGAACTCACAGGGATCCACCAACCTCTGCCTCCCAAGTGCCGGCATGCACCACCACTGTCTGGCAAGGCCAGCCTAGGCTACATAAGAGTTGGTCTCGGTCTGGAGAGATGGCTCAGAGGTTAAGAGCACTGGCTGCTCTTCCAGAGGTCCTGAGTTCGATTCCCAGCACACACACGGTAGCTTGAAACCATCTATAACAATATCTGGTGCCCTCTTCTGGTGTGCAGGCAGAACACTGTATACTTAATAATAAATAAATAAAATTAAAAAAGAGTTGGTCTCAAAAAGCAAACAAAGGCCTGAGATTGTAGTTCAATAGACAAGCACTACTATATACAAGTCCTGTGTTTGGTCCCCAGCACTGAAAAAATATGTTTTAAATCACAAGTCCTGATATAGTTAGAGATTATTGGGACTGAAAAGCACTCTGCTCAGCAGAACAAATTAGGCTAGAAAACACTTAATGTCACAAATGTGTGTCGGGGCAGGGTTTCACATCATAAACCAGATTATATAACCCAGGCTGTCCTCAAATTGGAAGCAATTCTCCTACCCCAGACTCCATACCCAGCCACTGTTTTGACACATTCCCTCTGGTTCTGTCACAACTAGTATCTGTAATCTCTTTTGAAACCTTGGCCAGAGGACTGTCAGACCCTGCTCCCCAGAACACTGTACCCAGTACTTCTGTTGTCCTGGTGCCAGCCTGTAATCCCAGCACTCCCAAGTTGGAGGTAGGAGAGCCAGTAGCTCAAGATCATCCTTAGTTATATAGCACATTCCAGGTCAGCCTGGACTGCATGAGACCCTGTCTCAAAAAAGTTGCAGGGTTAAAGCTGTGGTTCAAAAGCAGAGGCCCTGGGTTCCACCCCTCACACAGCAGGAAGAGGGGGAGGAGAACTCTTCCTTAGCTGCTTAGCTGACTAATTGGGCAGTTACTAGGAGAGCTTGTCTCTGAAATGAGACTCGAATGGCACAAATACAGGGAAACTAGAAAAGCAAAATGAAGGGGCTGGAGAGATGGCTCAGAGGTTAAGAGCACTGACTGCTCTTCCAGGGGTCCTGAGTTCAATTCCCAGCAGCCACATGGTGGCTCACAACCATCTACAATTCAATCTGGTGTCCTCTTCTGGCATGTAGGCAGAACACTGTATATGTAATAAAAATAAAATCTTTAAAAAAAAAGCGAAATGAAGTAATCCATATTGGGTGCTCAGAGACTGGTACACAGAGACAAGGATGGTGGTGGTGGTTACCTGTAATGAGGGTGTTGTTAAAATGTCTAGGTTCCCGGTCAGGGAACCAATGTTGTTAAAATGTCTAGGTTTACCCAATAACGAGACACAAACCATGACTCAACGATCCCCCGTGGAGTTTTATTGGTGGACAGGGAGGGAAAGGGGGGTGAAAGGTAACCAACCCGTGCAGAGCAGAGAGAGAGACAGAGAGAGGAGATGAGAGTAAGACGAGAGTAAAAGAGAGTGTAAGCAGGCAGGGGTCAGTCCTTTAAAGGGGTCCTTTGCACCTGCGTGGTTCTCACAGAACTCTGGGCTGGCCAGAGTGTTGCCTGAGTGTATCCTGCCAGGTAACAGGGCAGGCCAGTGTAATTCCTGAACCTTTCAGAGGGCCATCCTGGCTGAATTGCCCCACCTTCTCCCTGTGTGGTCCTCATGAACGAGGACAAAGGAAAGTAGCCCCACAGTGTCCCTGATCGGGTTCCTCTCCAGGCAAAGCTTCAGCACAACCGGCCCTGCCTGCACTCTGCTCAAGCTGCTGGTTCCTGGCCTGCAGCTCCTGGGTCTTCAGGGCCAGATCAATGGTGTCTTGGAGGACTGCGGCCAGCAGACTGCGGTGATGGTGTTCTGTGGCCACTGCCTTCTCCTCCCATAGCCCCTGCCAGGCTTGGAAAACCTGTGTCCACGTCAGAGATGCCTGTTGGTCCATCAGCTTGGCACCAACTTAAGGTCTGCCCTGTCTCCACTGACCTGCAGCAAGTGGCGTGTCCGAGCTCGGGTGGACCGTACACACACGTCATAGAGGGCCGCCAGATCACACTCTGCCATGTCTCGCTCCGCCTGCAGGGCTGCCACCTGAAGCTTCAGCGCTGCCTGCCCCTTCCGTTGTGTCTCTCTCTCCTCACAAGCCTGCAGGTAAAGCAGCTTTTGGCGAGTGCCACCCGTGCCAGGCTCAGTGCACAATACTCACTGCATGTGATCTCATTTCATCCCAGCCAACCTTACCCGGACATCTCCCTTCTCCAGGTTTGCAAACAGTGCATCAGGGAAACAATCTGACTGACCAGATTCCCATGGCTAATGTGGGACAGAGCTGGAATGGAGCATGCTTTCACTAGCTGCCCTCCTCACTAGGTAAAATCCAAACCCAGAGACGTGCCACCCTGTGGTGTAGCCTTACCTTCTCCCACACACTTGCTAGCCAGACGGAACAATCTTGCTGTTCTTTCCTCGGCTTTATCAGACTTTGGCTTTATCAGAGAACGTGCCCGTGTCCACCACATATACAACTTTTGAAATGGATCTTATCATTGTTTATTTTTTTACAGGGAGAGGATAGAAATGAGACAGGGTCTTCTTTATAGGCCAGACTGGCCTTGAACTCACGACCCTCCTGCCTGGCCTTCCTGGGTGCTGAGAGGCCTGTACCACTGTACCTAGCCACATGTTTTGTTTCTTTTTTTAAAGCAGTTCTTCACATTTTTTACTTATTTATTTTATATCCCAACCAGTTTCCTTCCCAACCCTCTCTACCCACCTCCTCTCTGCCCCCCTCCCCTCAATCCACTCCTCTGTTTCTGTTCAACAAAGCATGGCTTGTCACGTTACAGTAAGACTCTCCTTGTATTAAGGCTGGGCAAAGCAATCCAGTATGAGAACTCCCATTGTTGGGAACCTTTAAGTAGACCAAGTTATACAACTGTTGCGTGCATGCAGAGGACCTAGGTCAGTCCCATGCAGCTCCCCATTGTTGGTTCAGAGTCTGAGTTCCTAGGAGCCAGGTTAGTTTCTTTCTTTCATTCCTGGTTTTTCTAGACAGGGTTTCTCTGTGTAGCTTTGGAGGCTGTCCTGGAACTCGCTCAGTAGACCAGGCTGGCCTCGAACTCACAGAGATCCGCCTGTCTCTGCCCCCAAGTGCTGGGATTAAAGGTAAGTGCCAGCCACCACCACCCAGCTACGTTTTATTTCGTGAACAGTCGTTTACTGAGCACCTTCATGACGAGCACGGACCGCCCTCAAGGAGCTGAATGCCATGAATCTTGGGCTGACTCTGGTTTTCCTGAGTCTCTACTTAGACCCAGTCTCCTCTGGTCCACTCCAGTCCGGGCAAAGTGGACCTCACTGCTCCCATCTGCCTGTGACTGCCCATTGCAGCAAACAGCACTGAGTATGGCCTCTTCTGAGCCCCATAAGGCATACGGACCAATCTGCTATGATTGGATCCAGATCCTTGCCACAGTGCACAGCCTGGGTGCAGGAGCCTGAGGCCCTGTGCTTCTCCCCTCCCCTCACCTCTCCCGCCAACATTCCTTTGATCCCTTTACAGGCTGCATCCTCCTGATGTCCTACGAGCTTCAGCTCTTCCTGGATCCAAATCTGGTGCTGCTCTCGAAGTCTCTGCCTCTGAGCCTGGGCCAGAAAGAACTGCAGGGCCACATCTGGGGCCTGGTGGGACTAAATGGCATCGATGAGGCTCAGTCAGAAGTCAGGGTGCACACAGATACCAACCTTTCCAACAGAGCTTCATTGCCAGGGCTGTTCCAGAATCTAACTGGCCTGGGAAAGCCCATAGACCGAACAAAGACTCAGCTGTGGCTGGAGGGAGGAGATCTGCCCCTGCCTCTGGTGCTGTAGTAGTATAAGGGTCCCATCACTATGATCCATCCCAGGACAGCAGCTCCTCCCATGACCCACCCCACCCCAGGAGATCCTAGAAGCCTTTATGTCCTTGTCAGAAACTCCATATTCCTCCCCAGTATCAGCACAGGGCTTAGAGGCTCCTTTCTCCCCCAAGTTTCCAGTTGTTTTGGGCGTATGAGAAGTATTAATATTACCTGTTCCTTAGAGTGCCTGAGAGGATGTGTTTGGTGGAGCCGAGACCCTAAAAATCCTCTTCTTCCTGCCTCTGGAGGAAAATGTCATTAGTCACATCAAAGTGCACACACACACACACACACACATACACACACACACACACAGAGTACAGGGGATGAATAACAATGTAATCAAAGCTTTTGGGGGAAGGCTGGTCTCAACCATACTACAGCAAATCATGGAAGACAGTGCCCCCCCCCCCTTTTGATGAAGAAGGGCTTTGTCTAAAGCAGCAATTCTCAACCTGTGAGTCTTTCAGAAAAGACCATCAGAAAACACAGATACTTACATTACAACCCATAACAGTAGCAAAATTACAGTTATGAAATAGTAATGAAAATCATTTTAAAGCCGGGCGTTGGTGGCGCACGCCTTTAATCCCAGCACTCGGGAGGCAGAGGCAGGCGGATCTCTGTGAGTTCAAGGCCAGCCTGGTCTACAGAGCGAGTTCCAGGATAGGCTCAAAAACAATACAGAGAAACCCTGTCTCGAAAAACCAAAAAAAAAAAAAATCATTTTATAGTGGGGGATCACACAACATGGGCAAGGTTGAGAACCTCTGGACTCTAAAGGGATTAAAAGCATCACGTTCCAGGGCCTGGAGTGACAGTGTCTGTGACTCTAAGCTACTCACATTCCTTCTCTGAGCCTCAATATGCTCACCTGACAAATGAGCAAAATGTCTTCCCTGCTTACTGTAGCTCAGTGGCTCGCCTTTCACCTTCAAGAGAAAATCCGAGTGTCTCAGACATTTCCAAATCCATTCCTCCATCTCCAATCCATTCCTGACTCCATTCTCCAGCCAAATAAATTGCTTGCAATTCTCCAGAGATCTGCTGGTTTCAGTTTCTGTGTGGTTCTCTGCCTGGAATGCTCTTTGCTGTCCTTACAAACCTCCATCCAGAGTCACTTCCTACGAAATCTTGCTTTCCTCTTTTTTTAAGGCTATATTGATGCCTTAGAGTCAGTTTTGCCAAGCTTTTCAGAACATTGACCTTAGCACTGTGATCGTTTCTTCTCAGACTAAACTCTACCAGGGCAGGGAAATTCCAGGGTTAACTTTGTACCCAGCCTGTGGTGCATGGTCAATAAATGTTTGGGAATCAATAAATAAGTGGGAGATTCTGCAAACAAAGAAGAGGCAGGCAGACATATACAGAGTCCCCAAGAGGTTGGGTGAAAAAATGTACCTTTGGCTCTTGGAGCCCCACAGCCTCAGCTCTAACCCCTTTGGGTATATGGCTTCTTGGTCCCCTGGATTTTACCACCTAGGAGAAAGGGACTCAAGTGGGGACTGGGACACTTTTGACCGGGTGCCCCAGGCCTCACCTTGCTCACCTGTAGCTCCCAGAGGGCCCTTCCAAATTGGTTCAACCCACCATCTGTCAAGGTGTCTCCAAGGAGGACTAAACGCAGTGCCCTCAGAGTGGCTCTACGGGCCCTCATCTCCTCTACTGGGTTCCACAAGGTGGGCCTCACCTCTCGCACCTGCACCCTCTTTCCTGAGGCCCCCAACAGAGCGGCCTGGAGCAGAGTTGGGAAGCTACCTAAAAAGAGACAACACAGTAGACTTCTCTTTCCCACACCACAGCACACACTGCCTGCAATGCTCTACATTTCTATCAAGGGCTGTTATCAAAATACCCAACCCTTGCCGAGTCTGGTGGTATAGCACCGTCACCTGAGCTGCTCTGATGGCTGAGACAAGATAGCAAGTTCAAGGTTTGGTTTCACAGATTAGTGAGCCCATCTCAAAATAAAAGGTAAAATAGGCTAGGGATGTAGCTCAGCATTAGGGTCCAAGGTTCGATCTCTAGTCCAAAATCATCACTGCCACCTTTATAGTCATCACCACTGCCACCATCACCATTTTCATCTTCATCATCACCACCATCACCACAATCAATCATCACCATCATCACCATCACCACCACCATCATCATCATCACCACCACCATCAATCACCACCACCATTACCATCACCACCACCATCATCACCATCATCACCATCACCACCATCATCACCACCATCACCACCACCATCAATCACCACCACCATTACCATCACCACCACCATCACCACCATCATCACCATCACCACCACCATCATCATCATCACCACCACCATCAATCACCACCACCATTACCATCACCACCACCATCACCACCATCATCACCATCACCACCACCATCATCATCATCACCACCACCATCAATCACCACCACCATTACCATCACCACCATCATCACCATCACCACCACCATCATCATCATCACCACCATCATCACCACCTAATAGCCCATAGTTGACTGTCAGTGTACTTGATGGCCCTGTGCTCAGCATCTCTTGGATTTATATTTTTATCCACAGCAACTCTAATCCATTTGCCACTTAAAGCCTGTGCCATATACCAGAATATAAAGCCAATCTGCAGATAAACACACACCTGCCCCTCCCAGCATGTCTGCCCTCCCTTTCAGACAGACATTCACCTATAGATTAGTTTTATATTCTAATTAGTATCTCAAGTTTATCTTCTTCCATCCAGCTTGAGACAGGGGAGCCTTGGGACCTTCTAGACAAATGAATGTGGGTTGTGGAAACAGGGTTGGGCTTGTTGTTTGTTTTTGCTTTTTGAGACAGGGCTTCCCTGTGGCTTTGGAGCCTGTCCTGGAACTCACTCTTGTAGACCAGGCTGATCTCAAACTCACAAAGATCCGCCTGCCTCTGCCTCCCAAGTGCTGGGATTAAAGGCGTACACTACCACCGCCCGGCCTTGGACATTTTTTTTAATTTATGGAAATTTTCAAGTATATACAAATATAGGAAATCCATCTACCTACCTCCAGCTTAACTACTGCTCTTTTGCTCTTTTATTTTTTTTTTTCAGATACTGGGAATCAACTCCAAGGCCTTAAGCCCGCTAGGTAAGTGCTTACCACTGTCCAACCATCCCATGATGTTGTTTTCCAGCGTTTTTTGTGTCTGAGAGACCATCCGGCTGTGTGCCCCACTCGAGGCTTGAGTTTGCAGTGCTCCTGCTCCAGTCTTCTGATTGCTGGGGTTCCAGTATGGGCCACCACACTCAGCTTCGTTGACACTGTGGTCTAATCTGCATCCCCAACTCTGGTATTACAGCTTCAGGGGCCTCATTTGTAATGGGTGTGTGTAAAGAGGAAAGTGTTTTTTCCTCTGTATCCTTTCCTAATATGTAAGTTAAGCCTGCCTCCCTCTCATTTGTGAATTAGACCTGCATTCTGGGATGTGGCTGCTTAGTCCTGGAATACCAGCACCCAGGAAGCTGAGGGAGGCAGACTTGCAGGAGTTCAACACCAGCTTGGGCTACAGTGACACCCTGTTGAAGAAAAAAAGGTGTTAAAATGTTTGATAAAGATCCTGAATATGAGCCGGTCATTGGTGGCACACGCCTTTAATCTCAGCAGAGGCAAGTAAATCTCTGTGAATTCCAGGCCAACCTAGTCTACAGAGCAAGTTCCAGAACAGCCAGGGATAAACAAAGAACCACTGTTTTGCAGAAAAAAATAAAATTAAAAATTAAAAAATTTTAAAAGATCCTGAATGTGGTGGCAAACAACTACAACCCCTGTAACCCCGGTACTCAGGAGCTAAGACAGAAGGATGTGAGTTCTAGCTAGCTACATATATACTTCAAGAGCAGCCCAACCTTCCTGAATTCTGGCCTGCCCAGAGAGTCAAGGACTCTCTCTGCCTACAACAGGGCAGTGGCTGGTTGAGGTAACATGAAACAAGCCTACCAAACCACAGAGCTTTCCAAAGAACTCTACCCCACCCTCACCACCGTGTGGGTCCAGACGAAGAAGTAAGCTACTGTAGCTGTTCCCCTCCAGGAGCCAGGACACAATCCAGGGCAGAGAACCCTCTTCCTCCCCAGCAGCCTCACCAGCCAGCACTCGCAGCAGGGGGCAGGCTCTGCCAGAGGGAGAGAAGAAATGTGCCCCGTGGCAGATGCGGAGGACCAGCCCTGGCAGGAATCACCTGACCAAGGCTATTGTCACTTTCCCCACACACCCACCAGACTTAGTTAAGACGACTTGCTGCTCTTACAGAGGACCTGGTTCAATTCCCACATCAGGTGGTTCAAACTGCCTATAACTCCAATTCTAGGGGATCTGTAAGCACGGGGCACATGCAATGTGCATACAGACAAATGGACACATGGATAAAAATAAATTAATTTTTTGTTTTCATTTATTTATCTTTATTTTATGTGCATTAGTGTTTTGCCATGGGTGTCAGCTTCCCTGGAACCAGAATTACAAGCAGTTGTAACCCAGGTCCTTTGGAAGAACAGTCAGTGCTCCCAACCACTGAGCCATCTCTTCAGCCCATAAATGAATTTTTAAAGAAAGAATATTACACAATAAAAAAAGAAGAAACCTTAGAATACTCTGAAATTTAAGTTATTTTATCCCCTTCTTTTTCTACTTTTTAAATTTCTATTTTGTTTTTAGACACTTCTGAGTTTGGGAATATCCCTGTGGTATATTTTGAAAACTGGTCTGAAATGATTATACACTGTGATAACTTGATGTTTTCATTATTATTATTATTTTGATTTCTCGAGTCAGGGTTTCTCTGTGTAGCTTTGTAGACCAGGCTGGCCTCAAACTCACAGGGATCCACCAGCCTCTGCCTCTTGAGCGCTGGGATTAAAGGCGTGTGCCACCACCACCCAGCTGGTTTTCTTTATTTTTATTTATTTTATATATAGGCGTACTCTACCTGCATGTATGCCTTTCTGCCAGAAGAGGGCATCAAATCCCACTATAAATGGGTGCGAGCCACTGTGTTTGCTGGGAATTGAACTCAGGACTTCTGGAAGAGCTGCCAGTGCTCTTAACCACTGAGCCATCCCTCCAGCCCCCAGTTTCCATTACTTTTGATCACTGGGAGAAAGGTATGAATTGGGTGTGAAGATGGGCTGGCTACTCGGGGGAACTTTCCTGTCTTGGCTTTGAACATTTAGATTCACATCCACACTATGGCATCTACCTCACCTCCCAATGCAACCACAAGACCTCCTCAGACTTACGGGTCTCCTGGAAGCTGCATGATCCTCAAGGTACCTCGACACACTTGCTGGCTCTCAGGCCCAGGGCAGGACATGGTAATCGTGAGCAGAGAGCAGGCCCTGCAGAGCACGAGGATGGCTTGGGAAGGAAACCTGGACTTGTATGGGGATTGGAGTGGGTGGGTCACAGCTGTCTTGTCCTCACCTGCCTTCATGCCCAGCAGCCTTCAGGTACAGCTCAGAGGCAGCTCGGGCGTCAGACACCTCCACTTCGCAGGCATCTTTCACCACCCTGAAGAGAGGGAGGTTGGACACAGCCCTGTAGCCCGCGTGCTAGCAGCAAGCTCTGGCATCTCTGTGTTCCAAGCCCACAGTGTCCATGGCACACAAGAATCATCCCAGAGGCTCAGAGCTCTTTATACCTTATTAAGTGTCTCTCATCTTCCTAACCTTGGTTTCTCCCCTGTGGTCTGCCCAGGAAGGGAAGCAGGTTTGTTGGGACCATTTCAAAGATGGAAAAACTGCTCTGTGAGGAGTTGGGAACCACTAGACGTGATCCTGGACTGCTTCAGGCCGTGAGGGTGGGCCTGAGGGTTGACATGTATTTGCTATGAAGGGAACGAATGCATAGGTTGGGAAAGGAAGGAGAGCAGGGAAGAGGCTCTAGGCCCCGTCAGCTGACGTGGCTTCGTTCTCCGGGAATGGCAGAGCAGAACCTCATCTTCACGCTTGTCTTGATGTAGTTTATCTGGAAGGTGTCACTGAGGCTTACGGCTAGCACCCTTGTCTCATTGACCCTTAATACTTACAAGCCCAGAGGGGCCACATCCAGTACTGGCAGGTCCTCCAGACGAGAGGAGAGCAGGTCCCGAGTCTGCCCACTTGGGCTAACCTGGGGTCACACAAAGAAAATCATCACAGGTTAAGCCTCTTCTCTCCTATAGGTCCTATGGGCTAAGGGAGGATAAGGATTCAGCCATTAGTCACTGGTGGTGTCGCACACTTTAATCCCAGCACTCAGGAGGCAGAGGCGGGCAGATCTTTGTGAGGCCAGCCTGGTCTACAGAGTGAGTTCCAGGACAGCCAAAGCTGCTACACAAGAAACCCTGTCTCAACAAAGACTTCAGCCACTGACAGTTGGTATAAAAAGGGGACCCCAGAGAGGCAATCCCCAGCTGCGGTAGCAGGGAAGGCGTCCCATTTCCCTTTCCACTTGCCACAACCCTCAAGGGATTTCTGAGGTGACACTTAGCTCTGCACCACCGTGCTCCCCCTTACCCCCCCCCCCCGTTTTCTCTTCCCTTCCCTTCCCCCAGTGACCTCACCTGCACCAGACTGAGAGTGCAGAGCGCAGGAGGAGAGCTGCCCACGGGCAGAGCCTCCTCAAACAGCACCTGCAGGACCTAAAATAGAGGCGCTCAGTGGGGGACGAGAAGGCACCAGTGTGTCCTCCGGCATTCATCTGTGGCAGGCCCTGTGCTGGCTTTGGGTACAAAGTGCACTGGCCCCTTCCCCTCGAAGGCAGACAGACTGCCAAGCAGCCTTCCTCAGTAGGCCTTCCTGTTGTGGGCAGGGTCGTTCTGAGGCAGCTGTTTTGATTTGAAAGTCTTCTGATGAAACTTTGTTGTAAAGTTTTAAGCATAGCATGGGCAACATTACCAAGACGTGCTGAATTTAGGTGTCCTGAGGACCCGGTCTGCGCGTGCCACGTCCCCTCGTCCCTCACCCACGAGCCACAGCTTCCCATCTTTCCTGACTTCTCAGCTGCAGAAAGCGGCCTTGGTAAAAAGTCCTCCAAGGACCGCAGGGTGCATGGGAGACCTGAGCTGTCCCTAGTCTGGCTGGAGTGAGCAGGCAAACATTTCCCAGGTAATGCTTGAACTCCTCACCTGAGGTACAAAGCGGGGTGCCTCTGTTTCCCGGCCCCGGAGCAGCACAGCCGTGTTGTAGCCATGTCCCACAGAGGCCAGCATGGGCTGGATTTGTGTCAACAGCTCCTGCTCTGCTTCCTGTGGGAACACAGGCACATCCCTGTGTCAGGTGACCTGTTACCTGTTACAGCCTGCTCTGAGCAAAAGCCAGGTGCAGAGCCTGGGAGCTTTCCTTCTCCTCCCATCCGTTTCTCAGAACCCCTACCTGAGCAGCACCAGGGCCCAGAACTCTGTCAAACAGGAAGCAGTGTTCCTACGGACACGAATGGCGTCAGTACTGGCATTTCCGTCTTCCCCGCTCGCTCCCCTCATCCCACACCGTCTACCTGAGGCTCCAGAGTGTCTGGCTGAAGTAGGCGCAGACACTTGGGTCCCTCCAAAAGAAGTGTGGGGCCATGGATTTCCTTGAGTCCTGAGAGGAGTTGGCTTCATGTAGGTTTTCCTGAGAGAAGAGCTCAGGGGCTTCTTAGTCTTGCCTTAATCCCCAACCCCCAACCAGAACTGGCTTGGCACCCCCTCTCTGGCTGCCCTCCTTCAGGCATTCTTTTTTTCTTTTGAGTATAATTTTTGGGAGTTAAACTTGGGACCTCCATATACCAGGCAAGTATTCTACCACTAAACCCAGTTTTTTGTTTTTTTGTTTTTGTTTTTTGTTTCTTATACAGGTTTTCATGACATGTTGCTCAAGGTGGCCTGGAACTGTTATTTAGCCAAAGATGACCTTGAACTTCTGATCCTCCTGCCTCTGCTTTCCTAGTAACAAGCTTACAGGTTCATGCCACCGAGACTGGTTCATGCTGTGAGTCAAACCCCGGGCTTCACGAACGCTAGGCACGCGCCCACCGAGCTGCACCCCCAGACCCCCAAAGCATCGTACCTGATCCTTCACCAGAATCCACTTCTACCACCGCAATCAGCTTGGCAGGCGGCATAGGAGAGACAGTGTGAGCCCCTTGAGGGCTTAGAGCCTCCCGGTCCACGGCAGGCTCCGTGCTCACCACCTGTGCAGGCTCCATGGCTTCTGAGTTTCTCAAATTCCCCTTAATAATTCACGCCCCTCATCCGTGGGCAGGGTGTCAGTGACTCTGGGTAGGTTACCTCTCAGAGGAAGTGACACTCCTTTCTCTTTGGTGTGTTTATTCCTCCCCTTTATGAAAAAGTTCAAACAAACAGTATAATGAACCCTCAGGTGATCAGACTCATCAGTTACCAACTTCTGGACATTCTTTTTGTTTGTTTGTTTGTTTGTTTGTTTGTTTGTTTTTCAAGACAGGGTTTCTCTGTGTGGCTTCGGAGCCTTTCCTGGCTCTGTAGACCAGGCTGGCCTCCAGTTCACAGAGATCGGCCTGCCTGTGCCTCCCAAGTGCTGGGATTAAAGACGTGGGCCACCAACGCCCGACTTTCTGGCCATTCTTACTTCTTTGGTTTTTCTTTCCTCTAAACAAGCTTTTTAAAAATGACGCTTTAGGGGCTGGAGAGATGGCTCAGTGATTAACAACACTAGAGAGTCTTCCAGAGGTCCCAAGTTCAATTCCCAGCAACCACATGGTGGCTCACAACCTTCTGTAATGAGATCTGGTGCCCTCTTCTGGCCTGCAGGAATACATGCAGACAGAGCACTGTATACATAATAAATAAATCTTTTAAAAAAAATGCTTTAACACCCGACTTCATAACTATTTCAGTATATATTTCTCATTTTTTCTTTTGTTCTTTTTTGGGACAGTGTCTTATGTAGCCCAGGCCGACCTCCCTATATAGCTGAGGCTGGTTCTGAACTCCTGATTGTTGTGTACAGTGTTCACTCAGGTCTGTGAAAGAATAGGGTCACTCTAGGACTTAGCTTTTCTGAATGCAGGGGAGTCAACTTGATGGTAGCTTCACAAAAAGGTTTTTGTTACACAGTTTGTTACACAGTTTACACCTTAGCAAGTCAGTTTCTGCATACCAAAGCTTCTTATCTAAAGCTCCCCAAAGAGCCAAAACAATTCCCAGTCACAGGATATCTCCTCCCACAACCAAGTTTTGCATAGGCTTTGAACCTTTAGGAAACTCTTAGATAAGATAAAAATTCTTCAAACAGAAGGTAGCCACAAAACACAGATCAAAGCCAGGTGTTAACACTAGGGAATCAAACCACCTGCAAAGCTCCTCAGGAATGCCCACCAGCCAGGATACACCAGAGCCTACTGCGTCCACCTCACAAGTGCTCAGGTTACAGATTACTACATATATATTTCTAAAAGATAACCATTATTCATTTTTATATCAGCTTTGTGAGATGATGTAATTCATATGGCATATGATTTATCCTCTGTGTATGTGTATGGGGGTGGTGTGTGGAGGCCAGCAGCTCAATTGCGTCTTCATCTTTTATTTATATTTGTTGGTTAGTTACTATATTCATTACTTTTCTGTTACTGTGATAGAACACCATGACCAAAAGAAACTTAACAAAGAAATTTGGCTTATGGTTGTAGAGGTCTAGAATCCATAACATTGGGAGTGGGGGGGGGTAAGGATGGGATTGGGTGGCTACAAGGGCAGTGGTGGTGCACACCTTTAGTCTAGATCTCTGCAAGTTCTAGGCCAGCCTGGCCTACAGAGAGAATTCTAGGACAGCCAGGGCTGTACAGAGAAATCCTGGGGGGTGGGGAGTGGAAAACTGACTGATCCCATTTCTTTCACACACAGGAAACAGAGGCAGAGAACCGGGAGCGGGATAAGTCTGTGAACTTTCCGATCTTACCCAGAGACCGCCCTTCCTCAAACAAGGCTCTACTCCCTAAAGGTCTAGTGGCCTCCCTAAGCAGCGTCACTGATCAGGGAGCAAGTGCTTCAAAGACAGAGCCTACAGACAACACTCTTTAAAGCTTCCACAGGGAGTTATTTAAATATTCATTTTTTTAGAGACAGCTTTGAATTTAGCCTTGGCTGGTCCAGAGCTCACTCTGTAGATCAGGCTGGCCTTGAACTCAAAAAGATCCGTCTGACTCTGCCTCCTGAATGCTGGGATTAAAGGCATAAACCTCCATGCATGGTACATTTATTTTATTTTTTTATTTGGAGACAGGCCCTCTCAGTGTTCTATGGTTGTGAAGAGACACCATGACAAAGGCAGCTCTTATAAAGGAAACCATGAGAGTAAGATCATAGGAATCACCCCACAGGATGGGAGCAGGCCCTAGCAAGTGCTCTTTCTGGGCTTCATTTAATGAATTTAGATGAATGGAGAGGCAGAAAAAATTATGGGGACATGAGAAGGGGGAGGGTTCCCTCACCCAGGAGTCTGGTTGAAGCCTCTGGACACCATAGAAACAAGAACTCCAGCACAATTGACAATGGTGTCTCCCTGCCCAGCAGTACACCTGCATTTCTCCCGACTCTCATCAGAAACTGGGTTTACAGGGAAAGGACATGCACTAAACCCCACCTGTAACCCTACTGTCCTGGCGTCCCTTTCAGTTATGACAAACTGGAGTAACCCTGCAGCCTCACTCATGGAGAGTAAAGTGTTTCCTAGCTCCTTGTGAGACATCACTTGAGAACTAATAAAATGGTAACCCTGGCTAACCCTAACACAGCTCATGTGACTCTCCCTGGAGGAGCCAGTAGCCACACTTGGACTATGTCTTATATTCCCTTTCCTCCTTAACTGTCCTGCTCAAGCCTCTAACTCTGCTTCAAACTGGAGAGATCTGAAATTCTGTTCTGCTTTGAAGCCACCAGTCTGGTTTGGCTTGAGTCAAGTTCCCTAAAAAATCAGGGGTACCCCTCAGGCCACAGAACTTCCCTGCCTGTGGAGGGAAGGGTTTATCTCTACCAGGAACAAGATGCATCTTTACCTTGATTGACAGATCATCTGTTATGTAGTGCATACTCGGACACATATCCCATAAATTTTAAACAAATTTTACCCACTTATACTGTATAAACTGATGATATGACTGCTCCATGGTGTGGTTTGGGAAGGGTTCTTATTATAGATATGAGAGAGAAAACAGGAATCCAGAGCAGAGAGAGAAAGGAGAATGGCCAGTGCTCCCTTAGAGAGGGGAGAAGAGAACAGAGAAAGGGGCAAACAGCCTGGAGTCTGGAGTCTGGCGAGGGCACTGAAATGCATGACAAGTACTTGTGAGTAGGGACTCAGGGAGCCGGAGGCCAGCACTGACCTTGATTGCTCTGCAGAGCTGCAGGCTATGTTAACTGGAGAGCCATGTGCTCCTTTTGCAGGAGGTAAGGGAAATGACTCCTGAGCAATGCTGGCTTTCATCTAACCACCAGAAATTCTCCTGTAACCCAGCTTGAGCTCATTTCTGGGTATTTGGACAGCCTTTTGAACTTTGGGGATTGGAGTTTCCTTTGGACTTGACACATACAAACAAGAGAGGGCAGTTAGGGGTTTTCCCCCTGACAGATGGCTTTTAGAATAGATGAACTCCCAGTGTTGGTGCCCAGTGTCCTCTGGCCCTTGCTTATTCTCTCCAAGCAGGAAGTGCCTGACACTAAATTACTCACTGGCAGGGAGGTGCTGGGTGTTGACCAGCCAGGAAGAGGCCCACACATTTCTCCAAGGGAAGTTGCTCCAGACCACTGGGCTGTTCCTACACTTGCCAATCTGTACAACTGCTCATTTCATCCTCCTAAGTAGTCACCTCAAGTGAACATGTTGGGAAATTTACTTCCCTTGTTCTATAGCCTTCATTCTACTTTTTTTTTTAAAAAGATTTATTTATTTATGTATTACATATACAGTGTTCTGCCTACATGCCAGGAGAGGGCACCAGATTGAATTGTAGATGGTTGTGAGCCACCATGTGGGTGCTGGGAATTGAACTCAGGTCCCCTGGAAGAGCAGTCAGTGTCTTAACCAGGACAGCCTCCAAAACAATACAGAGGAACCCTGTCTCGAAAAACCAAAAAAAAAAAAAAAAAAAAGAGAGAGAGAGAGAGAGAGATCTGGTGCCCTTTTCTGGCAATGTAGACTTACATGCAGACAGAACACTGTGTACTTAATAAATAAATGAATCTTTTTAAAAAAAAGATCATCTCAGAGGGTTGAACTGAATGCTGTT